GTGCTCGTAGTACCGTGAGAAATACAGGGGGCGAGTGTCTTTGCGCGGAAATATGTGAGCATGACGAGCAACCGTGAACTGCTAATTTTGCGAGTTTCATGTTTAACGTGGCGTACTTCCTACACGAGACGAAGGTGATGAATAAATTCTTCCGCGGTATCTCCAGGCCACAAGAGTTGCTTGAATTAAATAACAATGAAGTCAGTAATAGTATCCTCTCTTATTAGGTATATTTAACTTATTGTCGCTAAGCGACAGATTTAATATATAAGCTTTACATCACGAAACAAATATATATGGTTATTCGCTGTGTTTCAACTTTCAACATAACGTACAGAAAATTTTTAATCCATAGAAATCTTTAATTTCTCTAAACAATATAATTTGTATTTTTATTCAAAATGATGAGACTACCTGAGACTTTGAACTGCACACAATCTTTTTGCAGAAATTTAATTATTAGCCTGCAAAAACGAGTGCATTAGAAAGGTTTGGTTACTTTGGTTGAGTATATTAGTAACGCAAAGCTGCATTTTTCATATCTAATGAGTTATTATAGCACTGCTTTCTTACACACACACACACACACACACACACACACACACATACTTTATATATACATATATAGCTCTCTCTCTCTATATATATATATATATATATATATATATATATGTCTTTGAATATTTGATTACCAATAAAAGCAAAGTAAATTGAGAGAAAAGGAAAGAGAAAAAAGAATTAAAATTATTCAAACTATCGCGTACTCTGGATATTAAGGTTTGAATATATACCTAACCATTCATCTACATATATTTCCACGGATATTCAATGTTCGTTTCAATCGAATCCCGCTTGAACTACTGGGGCACCGGATGTGGAACGTAAGGGGGTACAAAAATCGATGTATACTGGTAAAAGTTTTCGTGTCTCAGCCACGGTTCCCGCGAACCTCTGGTTCGAACGAGAGAAGACGAGATATCCGACGAGAAGCAAGCGAGAGTCAATTTGACCGACGTCGAAAACGCAATTACAAACGACGCCGGCGCGCGGTTTCGTCGGGCGCATCGCAACCGAATTCGTTTCGCGCGCGCACATTTGTGCCGTGAAAAAAAAATCGAAGAAAATAATTACGATTACCACGATATACCCGGGCGCGCGCGCGGCGCGACGGGGCACATTTCGCGAACTGGACGATAACGAGCACGAGAGGCGCCGGCACACGCCACCCTTCGTGAATCGCATTTAACCCAATACGGGAAAAGCGCGTCACGAATGGTCTCGGGAATAACAAGTACGGGACGTGTTCTGGAAAGAAAGAACGTTACGAATAGTCTCGTAAAAAATGATGTTTGTAGTGTCTGTATAAGAAGACATATTCCGTACATGTTTATCTTATCCATGCACAGAGAAAAGCACTGTGATATTTTAAATCGAAAATGGTACCGTAATCACTATGATATTTTACAGAAATATACGATTTTATATAAATTATTATATGATTCTATGTTAAAACAGATAAATGTATAAATAACGTTTTTTTTTAAATAATTTTCGTATGGATTAAAATATGGATATTTCGTTGCAAATGTCAACTTAAAACGTTGTGTTCAAGTTATAATATTACAATGGAAATTCGTGTCTCTGCTTTAGATTTTGATGACAAACAGTGTAATAATATCTATATTAGCTGGATAATTGAAGCTAGATAATTAAATTGCGAAAGGAGCTTACTATTTTGGGTTAAGAATTATAGAAAAGGACAAAGTAAAATTTAGATCGCTAATTAATATAGAAAGAATTTTGCAGAAAATACACATTAAGAATATCTACTTAAGTTTTTCGCCTTTGGCTGATACAGAATAGGCGTTATAAAATAGAATTTTATTCACTTCAAGCATACAAAATTGCCAAGAAGGGAACTTGATTCACAAATCTTAAAACTTAACTCACACATCCATTTATCCATCTTTCTTTTAATTTAACAAAACAAATATATCTATCTAGATTTACTTATTCTATAGCATATAGCCTTACACAGACTAAAACATAATTCGCTTATATTCTATGATATATTCTCTAATAGGTACTTACAGGATAGCGTTATAAAAAAATCACATCATGGAACAATTAACAAATGCCTGACTTTTCATTGATAGCACCATAGTGACGAATAAACTATATAGGTACATTTTGCGTCGTTATCGTTCGCCGCACGTTCACAAAACATGCATGGTGATAGTTGTTTAATTGCAAAAATTTTTTTCCTGCAAACACGACACGAGCAATTTTTTTAGATACCTAGCTTTTAGAACATTATTACATCGAAGTTGTATACGGTGGCTTCTCTCGAATGCGCGAACGAGCACAGAAGTTGTGTGATTTACGTAGGACATTACACATCATTTCACGTGATTGTGGACGTCGTCTCTTAAACGATTCCGTAAAGCCACAACTTGGATTCCAGAGGAATAGGAAACTAACTGCGCTTCTTTCAAGTTTTCATATCGCCGCGCAAATTGTAAATCGATAGTTTTGACTTTGAACTCTGGCTCTCGTGGGTATAGTTGATAATAGCTTACGCGCGTGCATATCGTAAGATACAACCTATCGTATACGTGTTTTCCTAGAAACATCGTCGATACTGATTTATGGTTAGTTCGAGGAGGGAGAATTCATGTAATCAGTATCACTAGCGCGTGTCCTTTGAGTTCAAAGCGATGGAATATTACGGTGCACCACGATATTCCTGGGTATACTGGTGTCGGTTGCTGAAGTCCCGAATAACCATAAAATTTTTTTCACGCGCGCATTTTTTCTTTATTAACGTGCAAATTTTTTTTATTTAAGGGTTCGCCGTGGTTTTTCTAGCAATGGTTTTCAAACATCCGGTACAACAATCAAAATTAAGATCTATATATTTTCAAAATTTAAAGCTATTAAATGAAATTACTTAATAAAATAAAACGTATTTAACAAGACACTCAGAAAAAAGTTTCGTATCTCGGAACACAAACCGTTTGTACAAAAAAAATTTCTGCAATTAGACGAGTATCGCCGTGCATGTTCTCGAACGTGCCGTGAATGATAACGACGAGAAACGTGGTGCTATCGATGGAAAAGCTTTTTGTTTGCTAAGGATTTGTTAACCGTTTAATCGTATAGATTTTCCATACTCACATTTTGATTAGAGATCAACCGAGAGTGTACTCGGCTGATTGTGAAAAAAAAAACGATTATTCCTTGACGTAAAACCTGATGTTTATTGAAACATCGTACGATTATTTGGAGTACACTTAATTATTATGGAATTTTTCCGTAATATTATTGTATACATTATGAAATATATATTAAGAATATCACGTACGCGTAGCAGCGAAATTACGACTGCGTTGAAATTATGTTAAATTACAAAGCAGAAATGTATGTAAATTGTAGTAATCCCCAGCATAATTAAAAGAGCAATTCTTACTCGCATATAAAACAGTTGTAAATTATTAATTCTGCAAATCACAAGTAAAACAAGAAGTAACAACTTACTCATATAGTTGCTCTGTCTGATGCTTCCGAAATCTCCACCTTATTTATTCATTGCACTCGTATAGCACAACAATCATGAAAACATAATTACAGTTATACGGACGTATTAATTATCAGAATAAAATAACAGAATGGCATTTTGCACGGAATTCCCGATAATCACACGCGATGAGTACTTATTATATTGTGGAAGTGTAAAGCGAAAAAGGATTTTACTCTGATTGACAATCATAAATTTCATAAATTAATATAACAGATAAAGTAGCGGAAGATTTTAATAAATCACAAATAATGTACAAATGATGAGAACGATAAACAAGTGCGATGTTATAAAATAATTGGGTAATTAGAAATACATTTGAATTTAAACATTGTAGGTATTAAGGATGTCGTCATCATTCGCATAAATAAAATAATAATTTATCGTTCCCATTTCCTGTCGCATCGAGTCCTGCGTGAAATGAATTAATCGCGCGAAATACTAACTTCGTTAAATGCAGCTAATGCATTTACAATTGTTAATCACAGGAGTTAATTAATCGTGTCAGCTAATAGTAATTAATCGTTTTTAGGAAATGATCGTATACCAAAATAATTAAGGCTATACACCTGAGTCTAATTTTTGATAAAATGTTAAAAGTATTCCGACATAACTGCACATTGACTATTCTGCTTCTTGCATTTTAAATTAATTTTTAAATACACGATTGACATAACACGGCTTCTCATTACTCAAATCGACTCGATCCTACAATTCGTACATTATTCCGTACATTATTCGTACATTATTATCAATTTTAAAACTGTAATCAAATTACATTTGAAACGAAAGTTTGAAGTACAGGATATATATTCGAATTCAAGCATCGCTGAAGAGACAATTATCGCCCCTGAATAATGATTTAGCATAAATTGTTTATAATTCTCATTCGCCGCATAATTCCATTTTATTTTTTTGATTCTCCAAAAGAATAAATCGTTTAAGCGTAAGAATTACATGCGAATTATTTAATTCTTTTGAAATTATCGTTATTGTTTAATTCTTTTACTTAATGACTAAATAATCGTTTGATTATTTCATTTAAATAAGTTGTTAAAAAATCTATTATTTAAAGAACAAAGATATTATCTTCATTTTATTCGAAGAAGAGTTTTGAAAATCTATTCAGCATCTAAGTAAATTCAGCACGTAAATAATTGTGCTCTTCTCAGTTTCCCGGAAAAAAGAAGATTAGAAAAACTACCAAAGTATACGTCCGCATATGAGCCTCTCTCGAGAATTAATTATTGAATTGCGAAGAACAGAAATTTAGGCCATGTCTCAAGACAAACTTTATTCAAATTTTTCATTTTAATCACGAATGCAAATATGACGTAACGAATATGAAATTGATTCTCAAGATATTTATTAAATCATGTCACGCCTCACGAACAGTTAAACGGAAACGCAATTGTAAACGCGTGGGCGTGAGAATATCACATTTTATGCATTGAGGAAAACACTCATATGAAATATCGCTGCAAACGGAGTTGACAATTAATTATTCATACGTATACACAAAACAGCAGAAACGCGCCCTTCGTATTGTTTTACAAGCGTAAATATCATTTTCTCTCTTTTTTTTTGTCGCAGCGAATGAGAAGCGAGCTCGCCAATTAGCAGGACTGTTTCAGAAATTGCGCGAAAACGCGGTTACCTGTGAATTTGCTCCGCGAATTATAAAACGTTTCAACGGGGCCGCGAGGTGGCCAAGACATACGGTAATTGTTCGCATAATTAATTCTGTTGCGACTCACGCTGAAGTACGACATTCTGAATGGTAGAAATATCGTGTGGTAGGCCAGTTCAAACGCACGCACGCGGCCCCGCAAAACGATTTCGGACCGATTAACTGGCGGATTCGCGCTCGCCCCGCATTGTCTACAGTCTACACGATGAGCGTGAGCTAGAAATGTCGGATTAACGGTGCGCGCGCGGCCGACGTATTGTTAGTTTCGCTATACACTATCGTGTTTGCTTGATTTCCACTGGCCCATGTAACATCCATAGAAATCCAATACCGGCCATAATGTGAAAACGCGTAGTAAACACATGTAGCGTGAACCTGCGAGTGGCAGCAAAACTGATTTGCAAGTACAACTATGAATTAACGCAATGCTTTTATCATAAGGTAAATGACATTGCGTTGTTCGTTTATTCGATCTGCGCGTTGCATAATCATTACACGATTTGTCCGAACCATTATCATCGCATCATGAAACAGCGATGCGAAAATTTCACGATATATATATTTGTATTGGTTGCAAGTTGTATACATTGGATTTATAAATATGTGAATTTTATTTTATAACAAAATATGCTTTTTTTATTGTAAAAATTGAAATTTTAATTCGTTGTAAATTAAATTTTAATTCATTTGGAAGGATTGAATTATTATTATAAAATCAAATAAAAACAAAAAAAATATGAAAAAAGCAGTTGTTCTTTAAAGCGTGTATTTAAAGCATTCATTTATATATAAAAATCTTATAATGCATTTTTACATATAAATATAACAATTGTTTAAAGGAAACAAAGCTTATCGCAAATTCTTTTGTGAATCTATAGTAAATGTAAAAAGAGACTGATCTTAATATGTATTTATTCATTTAACTCAATAGATGTAAAAGAATTGAAGAAAGTAATGGAAGTTTCTATGAGAACTCGAGAGCTCTTTCAGAGAAGATCGATTGTCCGTGCAAGAGAAAAAAGTACCTGATCGGAAAGAATATTTCTCGCCGTTGCGTATAGAAAATCCGTAGATCATGATATTGCGGAAACAGCCATAATCTCCAATAATTAAGTTTCACGTATAAACGACGAGTTTGGCATGTGGCCCAACACGCCAATTACTGAAATGGACACCCGATTGATTGATCGAAATACGCGGATATGTGTGTCGACATTGTTCTCGGTCAGCTCAGCAATCTATGTGAGCCGCTCGAAGGGTGTTTGGATTGCGAATTCTATCGAGTTCAAGTGAGTTGAAACCATTTCCTCGTTCGTTGATATCATTTCACGAGTTCCCCTCAGAAAAGCATTTCGCCGCTTCTATGTACAGGGAAAATGATTTTCTCTCTCTCTTTTTTGTTAATCCTTCGTTGGATATTGGATTGTGCGAATATGTATAATATATTCACACAATCTGATTTATTTATACAATCATTTGTATGTATATGCGAAGTACGCCTATGTATTATTAATATCGCTTCTTTCATATTATGTATAGGTATTTTGATTAATTTGGAATTTATTCAATTTATAAAATCAATATAAATGAATATAAGGGCTAACGAGTCTGACTACATGTCCTTGTCAATTACATAGAACTTTAATAGATGTACATATTTGTACATATTTTTATGCGTCGTCATATTTGTACACCTATTAAAGTTTTATGTTTGTGATTGACAAGGACATCTAGTCAGGCTCTCGTTAGCCTTTATATTCATTTATATTGATATTATATCTTTAGAGCCGATTACGTTTCTTTTTAATTTTCATTCAATTTAATTTGATTACTAGATTGTGTTGAAATTTCTACAGACAATTTTTTTATAATTTTTCAATCCTAAATACATATTAAATGTTTTGCTATTGTATAATTTAATTTAACTAATCAACTAGAAATTATAATAGATATTATAATTTAAGAACCTCGACATTAATATACTTTTCAAATAAAAATGAGATTTCTGCAAAAAACTTTTATTTATTTATTTATTACGAAAATCTTTACTACGACTGCATTTGCACGTTTTGTACACTGAAGTATACGAGTTTTTCGACCAGACAAATAGTTTGCTAAAACGTATTGTCGTTTGGACAACTTTATTCCCTAGAATCAGCTTGAAATTTTTCTCTCAATGAAGAAAAAGATATATATATAAATAGACGTAATTCTAATCGAACAACCGCGGGGTTTCATCTCCGCCTGGATATTCAATCATCCGAGCTAGCGGCGTCAACTTCCTTCGTCTGGAACTAAATAGAAAGCTCCGGTCTTATAGAGACGAATTATTTGCAAGTCGGAGAAGCGCACGCTAACGTGTGAAGATGATTCACTGTCGGAAATCTACATCGGCTGGGTATGAAATTGCTGATTAGCAAGCGTCATCCCGAGTAGTCGAGGATTAACTTCCTCAACAGTCGCCGCAACGACATTGGCCGTGCGCAGCCTCGTGCACGCTCTATTGCACGTTGATCGGTGATTTCCCATGTGATATCCGATCGGTGCAGGTAATCGTAGTGCTATCATGTACCGCGCACGGCGGATAATGCTCGAGATAAAACTGTACGGACCGTCTCACATTTAGCGTGCGTTTCGTTTTATGCACCCCTTTGATCAGTCCTGAGGTCGACTTTATCTCAGATGAAACGTCCGGAGGGAATCTTATTTGTGTTGCAAGTTCTCGATGCTATTACGGATATATTTGCAAATTTGCAAAGTCCACTCGAAGTTGAATTAAGAATGAAGTTTTACTGCGTTTGCATCTCTGAAGCTAACTTCACCACGAGAACTTCACTTCCTTTTTAATCGTTTATGATAAAAAAAACCATTGATCCTTCACGAAGAGGAACAGCTCGCCTTGAGAAAAAGTCGATTCGAAATTCTGTCAAAGAGACATCTACAGATGTCTTGGAAGATTTAAAGCAACCTGTATATGTTTCATTATCAACTTCCATTATCTGAAAGCATTTTATCGATAAAATTGTGTACCGAATGATGTAATTGTTTTGCACGGAAGATTGCACGTCAAGATTCAATCACTTCTATACTGAAAATACAATCCGGCTCATGATTTTTCAAGAACTTTTACAAGCTAGTAAATAAGGGCTTAAATTGATCTTTCATATATTGTTACAAGCTAATCGTGCGATGAAAAAAGAGAGAGTTTAAATTGAGCTTTCATATCGTGCCTTTGAAACATTAGTCTGCTGTTAAGGTTAGACAATAATTTGAAAAAATCCAATAAGAGTAAAACTCAATTTATTCGAAACAAATAAAATAAAAACAATAATGGGCTACGAGCCAAGTTATGCCTATAAGCTATTTTACTTCTATTTTAGACAACTAAATCGTTCAATCAATTATTATCAAATTATGATTTCTATTATTTCTGTTATTGGATTGTTTCTTACGGATCATCAAACTCGTAAAGAAAAAATTTGTTACAGTAAAAATCAGTTTTTCGGATGAAGATTTTGCTGCCTTAAGGAATCTTTTATCGAAGCAAATAATTGTGTGCTAAAATGTGCTAAAGTGTATTTTGCTGAACGTGTTTCTCTCAATAAAAATAGTGTCGTTATGACGGAGTGACATCAACTAGTTACTGTCGCGAACTTTTGTCGTAGTAAATCGTCGCTTATTAACGAAATAGTCGCCGCTTTCAAGTAATATTACATTGTTAAGCTTTCAGCAAGCGTAGTGTTAAGATAAACTAATCAAATATCCAATCTGCAACTTACAATTAAAGTACAAAAAACAAAAAAAGATCAATGCATTAAGATATTTTAAAATCTTATCTTCCGTAAAACAAAATTTACTAATATAAACTAATATAGTTACTAATATAATATATAAGAAAGTAAGAAGACTTAAATTGCAATTTACATAAATTTAGCTTATATAATATAAAAGTGAAAACAAAAGTAGAAAATTGGAAGTGCAAAAATGGAAATAGGATTAAGTTTCGAAGTTGCAAATAAAGATAAATCGTTATTCTATATTCAATCTCGAAAAGATTTAACTTCGATATAGATTAGAATTATCAAAGGTCACGTGTTAGGAGAAACTTAGGAAAAATATATCTATACGGTCGAAAACTTTTTTATTACGAAAAGATCGATGCTGAATGAATAAATAAAAGGAAGCGCAGAGAATCTGAGATACTCTCCATATATCATGCCGTTACGTGACATTTTATACGTTCATTCGCGCGATACTTTTTTAATATATATACGTTACGGGAATATTTTAATGTGTGTTTCTGGTATGGTAATCGTTAACCAATCACGACAACTGGAGCTCACTGACTAAAATTGATTAGTGAGCTATTTCACGTGAGGTAGCTTCATATTTTTCGACGCCTGATGAATTATTCTTGCGGAGATACATCGGGTGATGAATCACGCTACATTTTTTATTTCTGCATCGCGTACGGCCGGATACACGAAATAAATAAATGAGTGTTAATTGCGCTGTATCAATAAAAGTGATTAATGGCACTGTCTAAGTTTCTGCGTAAATCAAAGGATGTAAATTAATGGCTCAAAGAAGAAATCCTCTTAAGAAAAGGAAAACGAAAATTTAAAAAATAAATTTCTTTTTAAAAAAATAAGTAGTTGAAATTATTAAAAGATGTTCTTATTAGAACATATCAGCGTATATTACATACTTTTATGCACATGTTATATTGTTTCTTGTTCTTATATCTTATGGAATTACAGATCGAAAGCTTCTATAATTCATTATAGAACAATTCTGTAACTAATATTGATACTAAATTACATATGCGCTTACGTATATTCTATAATATATTGGTTAAAATACATATATCTCTTTTTGAATAAAGAAAGAATTTCACAATTAAGTCTAGAATGAGGAAATGTAGATACAGCAAACATTTGAATGATTAATGCTTCACTATCGTGTCACGTATTGGAAAAATGACAAAAGAGAGATATACATAATACTACAGTTCTAATAGATGAAAGCTTTGGTTAGCTTTGGAAAGCTATTTCTAGATGGCTTAGCTCCAAAATTGTTCTAAGTTATTACAAGTACCAGCACTCAATTCATTTGACGTTCATATAACAAAATAGATTAAAATATATTTTTATTAATATTAATATAAAAAAAATGAGAATATTTACATTAAAAAATGAATAATACATTTGAAATACATAGGAAATTGCATATTTTGTGAAACATATTCCCTCATAAATAAAACGCGTTTCCAATGAGTAGTAGACGTTAAAGAAGCAAGTCACGAGTTTCTTTCCTGCATTTCTGCAAGTTGTCGACTGCTTCTTGAAGATATGTTGTTTACATTTAGAAATTGTTTGCTTTAATATTCAACGTGTTTACAGATTAAAGTATTTATATATTTATTGAACGACATTTAAAAAAGGGCTTGCATAAATATCAATAGCAATATTATGTGTTTTTCTTCTAATTAAAGTGCCTGATAATTTTTTTGTGTTTTATTACGAAGCATTCAGCGCAACAGTGTGACATGCCGCGATTCACTCGTCCTACTTTCCATGATTTTTCTGTTCCGTGCGCCACACATTTCCTAAGCTTACCATTGCGTGTGCAAGCTATTTCACCGCGAATCCGGCGGAGAGAAACCACCGACGAAATCTACGTGGTCGGGAAAAAAAATGTGGGTATATCGCTGATTCCCATCCGAGCGAATAAATGCGCGTCTCGCAGGCGATAAGCGCGGGAAACGGGATTGACATAAAAGTTTCGCGATATTTCTCCCCGCGTAAATCGCGGGGGAGCGAGGTACGCGAGGAGTAGGCGGAAACAAAACGGTCGCGTTGTAAGATGAAAGAAAGGGAAGCTGTCGGGGATTGCATAAATTTGCAGACTGATAAAGCTTGAAGTACCGTGTTATACTTGTCCTCGTCCAAATTTATCCCCGTTCCGGGAAGGAACGAGCGTTCAAGGCAAGACAGAAACCCGGGGATGAGACCGAGAAAATATGTCACGACCGATTTCTCCAGACCAAAGAGCGGCGTAATCATTTAGAATTCGTTGAAAACGTATTTTGCGACAATGCAACGCGTTTGAAATCCAAGTCTGATGTTTGCTCGCTCAATAAGTGTATATATATGTATATATCGGATTAAATTAGATTAATTAAAATTTATTTATTTATATTTTTTATTTTACTTTGTTTTCTTTATTGTTATATGCAAAATTATTGATCAAAATTTGATTAATAAGCCTCCTCTCGTCTAATATAGCCGCTTTATTAATACCTATTAAAAATAATACCTACACTGTTTCGTCAATTAACAGGTTTATTTAAAATAGATTAATACATTCATAAAGCGTTGGGAGCAATTATTCAAAATAGAATACGGCAAAAGCTATTTACATGTGCTTCCTACGATTACTGAGCCAGTGATTTTACTCAAGAACGTGATTAAGCACGCTTCCTACATCTTGATCTGAAATTAGTGAACGAGGAAGTATGATCTGTGCGATTTCCATGTCAGGTACAAATGGCTGACAGTGTCGTCTTCTGAAAAATGTGCTTCGCGCACGCAATCCTTTAATTATTTTAACCATCTGGGGATCTAGATACAGATTGCATTAAGGTTATATCTATATACATAAATTCGGGATGTATCTGCGGAGTATATCATGTTTGCGAATAGGTTTTTTTCTCACAAATTATTACACGTTATGATTTTATCATAATACTTTATCTTCCCTTTCTTTTCGTTTAATATTATACTGTGTAACAATTATAACTTTATTTAATTTAGATCTAAATAATAAATCGTGTTATTATTGCGTGATGCCAGTTAAAAAGTTATGATGCATTCATTTCGAATGCAGAAGAGAAATCTGATAGTCTTGAATAACGTAATAACAGCCGATGCTAATTGGGGTCTCGTTAAGAGACGGGGATAAATCCTTTTCTTTTATACTTTATGCAGTTGCATTGGATTTTCGCTAATCAATTCAGTTTATGAATTATACTCTTTCTATTTTCGACATTGTTTAACGGTTCATTGTAATGTAAATTGATAACAGTAAGTATGTCAAAATGAACTTTTTAAAGACTTCATGTTCGTGCGCAATCTAATTTTCTCTTATAATTTTGTTTTCCAAATTGAATAAAGACTTTTTATTTGCAGGACAGTGAAGTTGCGTTTTATTAAAAGGTATAACGAGCATTTTTAAAAACGTTTCAATTTATCGTCATTGAATCGTCGGGAGATATAATGATATCGTCATGCAGCCGTGTTATCGTCCATTAGGAACGAAGAAAATAATGTGCTGAAAGAAGCGTTGTCAATCTGATAAATATCGCGTGTCACTGCCGAGCTCATAAATATGCATTAAGTTGCACTGCAATGTATACTTCTTTGAATTGCGTTGGAGTATTATATGTATATGGAAAATATGTTATCGATCGCATTTGTAAATGAATGCGCTGCATTTTGTTGGAATGGAAAATTGGGAGATAACGATAATGAACCATGTAGCAGCAATGCGGCACATTATTTCACCTTTAATTAAATAACACGGGCCAGCAAAGAAGGGAATTACCAATTGTAATATAATTGTAATGGCAAGTGCTCTTTGACGAAAACACATACACGATTAATTTCACCAACGTATTACGGCGCAAACACATTAAATATTATACGCCTACGAGCGTTTGATCTTTTAGTTAAAATTGATTTGATGGTCATGTGCAACAGTCTACCTTAATAAATGATAGATGTTTATAGAGCACGCGTCGTATATTCATGTATTGTGTATGACGTATGTCATTATTGTATCGCGCGCATTAAATTCAATTTTATATTTAGCTAATTGAACATTACGGAGTTCTTCTATCTGGAATTTTTTATTATAAATGCGACTTTCTTCCTTTCAGCGCAGTAATATAAATCGTATTCTTTCTCATAAATATCGCGTTTCAACACGTATTTACATGTATCATATTATAATATGATTTTCAGGTGAGCTTTAATGTAAAAGTTGTAACACAAATGTGATAAAATCACAACATTTTGTTATTAATATTAATAGCACTATTGTTCTTTTATTCTGTTCAAAAATATTTTTAAAATATTTTACTCGTGTTAAAAATATTCAAAATATTTAAAACAGTTTTGAGGCTTAATGAAGATATTTTCTTTTGTAAGAAAACATCTCCGTTTGAAGCAGTGAAAATAGCGGTCTTTTGGTCAGACAAGAGTATTTCAAGTAGAACAAACAATCCTCGGCGATTCGTTTGTCGAGATTAAATGTTTTCGCCTTCTCAATTCGTGCGTGTAAAAGAACTTCAGAAATTTGCTAAAAGAAGGAAAAAAGGGCACAAGGGTACTGAAATATTACTCTGAATGCTCGCTGCTTAGGAAACACTTTGATAGCATTAACGTTACTTCGGTGCGACGCATGATAGTATCGGCGTGCTATTGACGTCGGAATGCTATTGATCGAGTACGAGGCATGACTGGTAGAAATTAAATTTCTTATGTGGGATCCTAATATATATGTATCACAGAAAGCATGATTTAAAAATGAGATCTTACATGGGAACGGGTCAACCTGCATAACGACATCTGCGCGTGTACGGTAATTTCAGTTGCGTTACATTGCATTCGCAATTGAAGAAAATAGTACACTTTACGTTATATAATTTGCCATACGGAACTGATAATTAATTTTCTCGAGAACAAGTTTGCGCAGTAATGAAAATAAAATATACGCGCTCAAATTATGATTATAAAATTTTCTTTCTCTCTCTTCTGTTATATACGCAAGCAATTAAACGACACATAATTCTTCCAGTTCATAGCATTTACACAACTGGCATTGTACATATACTTATTCTGTAATGGCCACATTTTCTAGGACATAATCATAAATATAAAGCGCGAAGTCCGTCGTGCCACACGCGAAGGAAGGCTTTTTGCGTTTCATTTGCTTGGCCTTGACAATACTATCACAGTCATTTGCAAAAAAGATATTTATTATCGACAGTAATACTTTGATAAATCTTAAGCCGTGCCTAACATCAGTATAAGGCTGAGAAACGTGATATAATATTGCTTGCACCGATAACGGTTTCAATCGCTTTACGAGTCATAATAAAAAGCTTTGCTTTTTTTTCTATACACTTAGCCATGAATTCTACTTTGCTTAATCTAATTTAAAAAAAATTTATAAAATAATGGTTTTGATCGAATTTTTTCTATAACAAAAAAAATTGTTACAGCTCAAAAGAAAATGCAGGGTATTCCTAGATATATTCCACGCGTTTCAACCGGTATCTAAATGATGTATCTCTATTCTATATCTCGATGCTTCTAGGATGTCCGAGAGATGACTGGGTATTGAGGAGGAGAGGGCGCAGTAGCTTTGAAGGTTGCTGCCGCCTCGGTTTGGTGGAATGGAGATGAACGGCACCGAAAGCAGCCTGAACGGCACCGAGGTCAATCGCACTTCCGCGCCGATCTTCACCATCGGCACCGACTTCATCACGCAATGGTAAGGACACATACATATATCTTTTATTCAGAATGGACAAACTGGCGTATGAGTACGCGCCGAGTACGGCAATGCGCGAAATTATAAATGAATATAACTTTCCGCAATGCGAGGTGGTCCCGTGGGTTTTTACAAATTTTTGCATATAGACAGCTGGTTGCACAGTTTCTCTTTGCGTGACGTAACTGATGCGCATACGATTGTACACACGTCGGTACTATACGCGTATTATTATAATTTTAATGTTTGTGTGTACCCCCAGAATTATACAGATTGCTTGAATTAAAAATTTCCACAGAATTGTCAAATTTTAGCTACCGCACAGTCGCGTAAATCTCTCAGTAGATCTGTAAACTACAGTAAAAGCAACGCCATCGAAACTGTACCCGCAAAAGAAATAGTAAATCTAGCTAATCTAAAAAAATATATATACATATATTTAACATTTATTTCAAGCATACGTGTTTTCTTCTCGTTATAAAAAAAAATTTGTATAATATTATTCTAAAAGTACGGTATGAAAGCCGCGATTTTTTATACTTCTTGCATCCCGCTTTTTCGTAGCTACAACGGATTGCTCTCAAATCCTTTCTGCTGACGTGTACTTGCACTATGTAACACCATTCGCTCCATCGATCCCTAACATCCCCGAAGGATTTTGTGCTATGGGAAATACGGGATAGACAGGTCGATGGCACAAAGGCAATGTTAATAAGATAACAGTGATAATAGATAATAGTGATTGACGTTATTACGTTAGTTCGCCGATTTATTGCATTATATTGAATATATATTATATTTATAAGAAAATAACATAAATTTGTGTTTAAATAGCATACCTACATATATTAGCATATATACAGCAAATTCATTATTATCTTGCAAATAACATTAATCATATAATCTTTCAAAGATATAACAATTGTGACGTTATATTAACATTCCAACAGAATGTTAAAATATGTATTACGAACTTAATCAATTTCGTTATGAATGATTTAGTTTTAGTGAAGATGTATGTCTTTATTCCTCGCCCGCAGCGCTGCACGTATCGCAACCATCGGTAATCAAAACTTGCGAGATAACGATAGCCTGTTTAACGTAAATGCAAGGCCGTCTGATTAGATTTGTGGGACTGTGCTTGCATCTTGAGAAAGGGCACGGGAATGAGAGGTTTGTCGCTGTAAACGCGTTTAGATAAGCGATTCGTCATTTGGCGAAATGGCCCTCTTGAATTCCAAGCGCTTGCCTCCGCCAAGTTGCCGTTACCTCTGGGACTGCTCATTATCGGAGGGGTAATAACATCACGCGGCGCGTCTTATATAGTCAACGGTTGCCGTTTGTGTTCCCTACTTCGCTGGGAATATCAAGGCTAAAGGAAATGAACTTTCACCAGGGACAAAATTGAAGTAAAAAAATTCCCTCGAGAAGTCACCTTTTCGAGACAAGATTTTTCTTCGGGCTCCTTTCCATCTTAATCACGCCGAATAGCCAAATGATCATTATAAATTCTTAGAATCGTTATAATTAGATTTTTCCTACAATTTGCATAATAATTTGCATAATAGTTAAGTTTGTTTAAATTTCTTGAAATTATCAGTTTTTATATTGTCTACATATTTAATTTAAATATAAAGTTAAAGATTTTCTTTCTTAATGTATACCGTGATGTGGAAATATTTTAAGATATGTAAGAAGTAAAAATATATAAAGATATCTATTCTCCTATTTCAGGATTATAAGTGCGACTTGCGCATTTTCGAAAAGCATCGCGAAAAACATATCAGATTAGCCTGCAGTTAATTTTCGTTTTCAACTTTTCCTACAAATCTGTGTTTCCGAAACTGTAAGCGCCACTGAATATTTCATTGAAAATTGTTTAACTTAGAATGTTATATGTCAATTGTTAGTTCCCTCGCGTGCATAAATACGTTTGGCGTGATGGCATTTCAAGACAAACAATGGTTAGCCATTTGTATACATCATAATCGACATTTTACGCAAAGTCGATTTTACCCGGTCGAACTTTCATCGCGTCTGTACAATGGTATTTGAAATAGTCCATATAGTTACCGCGTGCATATGATAGCGAAGGCATTTGCGGAGCTGACGGATAAAACTCGCGTAAACCAATCCGGGACACCAAATTGCATCCTTGACCCTAGCAGGGCCACGGGTAATCTGGCAATGCGACGACGCGACGGGGCGAAGCACGCGGCTCTGAGCTTTAGTTGACGGGCTACTCGGTCGAATACGTTAGGCACGGCCGGTACGCGAACGTCGGTCGTTATTTAACAAAAGAAAAAGTCGGTATCGTGCAACGACGCGGAATCACGCGAGCGACGTCGAACGGTCCCCGTTGGCGCGCGCACGCGATTGAGGTGAAAATTTCGAATGTTGCGTGAGCCAGCAACGTCGGCGACGGCGAAAGTCGTCCACTAGAACAGATCAATGTGTGTCACAGCACATGTGAAATCCTCGCGTTAACTGAGAACGGAGGGTTACACCTAAAACAGAGAGAAATGCGACGGATGGGATTTTAATTTTGTAGTGCGCAATTTTAATTAATATATAATGTAAAGTTTTACGCGTTATTATGTAGAACTTGATAAGAATTAAAATTTTGCTTAAAAAAAAAAAGAGAAAACAGATGACAGCTCTGAAAACAGTGTATTTATAATTATGTGACGTCCAGTAAACACGTTAATGCATATGTCAACGTGAGTTATACATATACATTTGCAATATTCAATGACCTGATCATAGCAGACGGATCGAAGTCGAAGTTGCTTTTATATACATAAAACGGGTATATTATGAAGTTTGTGACACGTTGGGTTACACTTCCCGGAAATATCGATTTCCATCCTAACCGCGGTTGAAGTGACAGACTGATATTTTGCGTCCTTTGTGTAATGCGAAACGTAACGCAACGAAGAACAATTCTTCTGTTATTATACACATTTATTATGCCCCTTTATGATAAAATTCTACTGGTTTATTTGAATGCCTATTGTTTTAAGGCTAAAATAATTTATGCTTCTCATATCTTCTTTTATTTTATAAACTTTGAATATATTAAATGAACATTTTAATTTTTACTTTAATTGATAATTTAAAATTGTTGAAAGAAACTTGAATTGATTAAAAATAATATTCCATCTAAACAATATAATCTAACGTAAAATGATCTTTTGCAACGTTATTGTTTTAGCGTTGTCTAAAAGTAATCAGAATTGGCCAATTTATCACATAAAAAAATTTGATAAAATACAAGAAGGGGAGAAAAAGGGAGAAAAAGGCTTTGAGAGATACAGCAGGTAAAATATAGCGAGTCGATGGCATTCGGTATTCCCATCTTTTAGCGCGACGACGTTGCATGTTAAAATGGAACAGAGCCATTAAATGGATCGACTGTTGCATCCAACACGAGGCGGCTGCTATTGTTTCGTTTAACTGTGTGAATGACACTCTGTAAAAGCGCGACTGGCAACGTACCGTCTAACTAGATGATGCATACGATTAGCACTGGCGCTATTATAACGCGGCGATCAATTGTCGTATTACTTTCTGTCCCCTAAGGAATTCTTGTTATGTCCTGGTTGGGAGAGGGAGGATTCGTTTATTCCATTTTTATTTTATTTTGATTCTCCATATTCTACATCCTGAAGCTGTGGAGAACTATAATAGTAACATGAAAAATGCACAATATTATTAGAATTCTATTAGAAATAAATATTTTTTTATTTTGCAGTTTTATATAAATATTGATTTTCTTTTTCCTCTTTTTCTTTCTTTCTCTCTCTCTCTCTCTCTCTCTCTCTATTTTTATTTCTTCAATTTGACAAATAAAAAAAATTTTTTCGCTGTTCCTTGTTATCGCTTTCGAATCAAGCATAGAATGACAAATTTGAGTTCAATTCTGCAACGAATAATAAAAATAAAAGGTTTATCTCTCTCGAATGATTTGACAGTATATACTATAAAATTACGTCCATTGCTTTAAAGTTTAATTGCTTCGTACGGTTAGCCATTTTCTCTCGCGCATTTCCAGTTGCCCAAGTTGTTACGCCAACGTGTAACGAAATTATCGCCGTCGTTTCCTGGTTTTGTGTACCAGAACCGACGCACGATTACAGCATATGCAGAGAACAAATAAAATAGATCGAGCAACGGGAACGACACTGGAGCACATTGTGATGACACACGGTGAATATTGATTCTCGAATTTTCATTGCTATGCCGGAGAGAGCCGAGGGAAAAATGCATTCTCCGTACGCTGGAATAAAGCTTTCGTACGGCTTTCGTATCGCGTATTCCTGCTTTTTCCAGCGAGCAGATAGACGACGTCCAAAATCATGGGATTCAATTTATCTACGAATTCTTGGTTGCATGCCAAATCTTAGGAAAATGTACAGAAGACGGCAATCTTCGCGTGCAATGCGCAACGTGCCATTGTAGAAATAAAGTTACCTGTTCTTATAACTCCTTTACGCGATAGACGGATATTTTCTACTCAAAACTCATAAATGGCGGCTTATAATCCGAAGTCCCGTCAGCATATAAAAACTTTTCTAGCACTTCCCACTTGCGGCTAACGAGACTTGCAGCAGAAAATTGCGAGAGAAAGAGAGAGAGAAAATCGTTTATTTTACCTCACGAACACACTGAAAGTTTTGTCGGCGCGATTCATAAACACCCTATACCTACCATAATATCATGCGCGATATTAGATATGTACATGCTACACATCCGCGGAATGTAATGGGAAATCGATAGCATGTCCGACCTGTGTGAAAAACTGTGTCTTCAAAGGCTGCCTTTTATAATATTTTTAGAGATAGGGATATACTTGCCAATATATTTATTCGAGTTTGTTGAGCAAACAATCGATGAAGGACAGATGATGTACTTTAATATAAAGAAAAAAAAAACCGGTAATCATAGGGAAAGGGAGGGGTAGAGGGAGGAGGCGGGGGAGAGAGAGACAGTGAGAGGGG